TATGTAACTCCTAAAACCATTATCTTCACTATTTACTACACCATTATCTTCCTATTCATTGCTAGGAAGACTTCTTCTAGTATAAATAGTAGTGTCTTCATTTGGTTTATGGAACACAACATACAAGAGAAAAATATAGAGTGCATAAAGTTTGTCAAAAAGAGAGTTTTTATTAGTTGAAGGGAGGTGTTCTTTTTGTGGAGCTTTGGACTCAACTCTTGTCCAGAGTTGTTGAGTTATATTTTGTGATTAGGCTGTTGTATCCTGGAGGGGACAAGTCAAGAAGGACTACTGCTGGACCAGTGAAAACATTTGCTGCAGTGGGCTTGAATCTCCTTAAAGAGAGCGAGATATCCGCGCCTCAGCCTGAAGAGATTTATTTTCTTCATTTTATTTTCAATTGTAATCTTGTATTTTTTGTTATCTTGTAAGTTTTCACTAACAGATACAAATCTGTAAACATTGATTAAGTGATAAAAGTACATATCAGAGGAGACTCAGCACAACATGAACACACAACTTAGCACACCTGCAGAGGATCCAATTGAACACTAAAAGAAAACCATCAACACCAAAAAGCAGGATCAGTTTGATAGGCTGCCAGCTAACAGCAACAAAAAATATACAGAGATCAGCTAGAACTTCACGAGTATAAGCATCAAGTCACGCGCTGTGACATATATAGTGATACTATCATTGGCTTAATTAAAGGTGTGTGCTATGTACTTGAAGAAAACTTTTGACACCATAAAGCAAAATGGTAACAATAACGGCTACACTTAGACGACTAATGGTACATGAAAAATGGAATTGGAGTTTCAATATGAAACATGGTTGAGTTGGAGTTTCAAAATGAAATTTATAGACAAGTTAAATGGAGTTGTATATGTGTTTGGCCTTTCCAATATTCTTCTTGAAATCAATGTCACTGTCTCAGGAACTCAATTGAGTCGTTAGCATAAAAATTTCTTCACCAAATCCAAGAATAGAAAATCTCAATACTCTCTTAATAGACCTTAAATCCAAAAAGTTGAAAAAAGAAACAAACTTTACCAACTGGAATGGGCCAGAGCCCAAAAACAAAGCAACAGCAGTCCAAAATTAAGTACCCTTACTCGTTTATTTGAATATTTTAAAGATTTTTCCATTGAGAAAAAACTCAAAATAGTCATTTATCTTTGGGTTAAGACTCAAAGTCATTCTTGAGTCTTCACATGAAGCACTAACAGTCCATCATGTTTGCAATATTGGTACACTTTTGGTCCTTCTTCAAATTTTTGTTTATTTTTTAACATTGATTTTATCCATAATATATATATATATACACCTTGTTTTATTTAGTAGAAATAATATTGCAGCTAAAATCGAGAGGTTAATTACATTGATTTCACGTGCAATAGTACAATTTTTTCTTTTCTTGCAAGTCATATGTCAAGGTGTTCATAGTTTAGCAGCAACAATAATATTTCAACTTAACAAAACAAGATGTTCTTCTTCTCACCTTCTTATTATTTCTACTAAATAAAACAAGGTGTATATATATATATATTATGGATAAAATCAATGTTAAAAATAAACAAAAATTTGAAGAAGGACCAAAAGTGTACCAATATTGCAAACATGAGAGACTATTAATGCTCCATATGAAAACTCAAGGATGACTTTGAGTTTTAACCAAAAGATAAGAAACTTTTTTGGCCTTTTTCTCTTTTTCCATTAGAATCTTTTTAAATTGAAGATTTCTTAATTTCTTTAAAAAATTAAGTGACTAAATTTGAAAGTAATTTTCCAAAAAAAAAAAAAAAAACATTAAGTCATTTTGTGGACCACCCAAGAAGAAGACTTGAGTTAATCTTTCTTCCGTTAGAACGACTTGGGAGTCAAATGTTTCATTATCATGGAAGTGAATGAAAACGAATTAAAATTTAAAAGTTTCACGGGGTTTCCTATGAGTTTTTAAAAAAATCATAAAAACATGGAAAAAAAATTAAAAATGTTAAATGAATTTGTTAGACTTATTGTTGTTTTGATAAATTGATGATTGGAGTTTGTTTTTTAGGGTATTTTTGTCGATGTAAAAACTGACACAGGCTTCCAGCAATGGATCTTCTGGCCAGATTTTCTTTTCTTCATAATCCACAGTAAAATATAAGAATTATTTGGACAAAATGTAATCTCATTAGTCATTACAATGAAGAACAACTCCATTTATTCAGTTGGGAAAAAAGCTTGAGCAGAAAGGGTCATTTTCTAGCTTCTATACATACAGGTAAAATCTTTGAAATCGAATGAAAACTTCCAAGACGAACTATGTGCGACTGTAATATAAGGTCTTAAATACAGTAAACAAAATGAGAACCCTAAAAATACTAGTCCCAGCAATTGAAATACTTACTTCACACTTAACGACATTTCCATACATATCAAGGATTATATATTGCTCGCCTTACATGGGGGTTTCTCTGATGAATAGGTGGACGTGCATCCATTGAGGATAACTTCTGAGAGATGAAGTGCATTGTTGGCCTTGATTTTGGAGTTTCAAGCAAACAAGAGCATGCTAGCTTGATGATAAAAACCAAAACATCTTTTACTCTATCTTCAGGATATGGAAGGCGTTCATCCAGCAAATCGCTAAGCTGCTCAGGATCTATAGTCGATGAATTTGCTAGCACAGTAATGTATTCCCCAAGATGCTTTCCTTTGACTATCTCCAATGATAATACTCCAAAGCTATACACATCACACATTTGCGTAACCTTCATAGTATATGCAAGCTCTGAATAATACAATTTTCAAAACAATATTAACAATTAAAACGTGTAAATGAGATAAAAACAATGGAGTGTTTGGCTATAGTTCATGAACTATTTAAAACTTACCAGGTGCGACATAGCCATATGTGCCTGCAAGTGTAGTGCAATTGGAGGAGTCTGCATTGAGAATCTTCGCTAGTCCAAAGTCTGCAACACGAGCTTCATACTCAGAATCAAGCAAAACATTACTGCTACTTATGTCTCGATGAACAATGGGTGGTGAACAATCTTGGTGCATGTAAGATAAAGCAAAAGCAACACCCTTGATGATATTCACCCTTTTAAGCCAATCCAATTTCTTGGACTCAACTTCATTGCTCAAAATACTAGACAAACTCCCCCTCTCCACATACTCGTAAACCAAGAGTGAATGTTGTGCTTTCGAACAATAGCCGTAGAGGTTCACAATGTTCCGGTGCTTAATCCCAGTCAATGCCCTTATTTCATTGATGAAGCTTTTGGGATGTGTATTCTGAAATGAAGAATGAAGTCTCTTCACAGCTATATTCCCTAATGAGGGAAGGTTTACCTTGTAAACACTTCCGTGTCCTCCTTACCCGATGCAAAATTTTGCATCAAACTCTTCTGTGGCATTTAAGATGTCCCTGTACAATGCTTTCCCATCTAACATGGATATCGAAAGCCAACCATCACCATCCCTTCTTTCAACGTCTCTAACTCTCCTTCTTTTATTACACATAAAGAGAACACCAATGAAAACGCAGAGCAGTACTAATGCTCCCATAACAGGAAGTACAGTGATGAGGATGAGTTTACGTCCCTTCGCCATTGAGTGCCTCTTCACCACAGAAGACGACATTTCGCAGGGATGGAGTCCTGCTACATTGCCGCAAAGACCTTTATTACCCTCCAATGAGGCATTGATAAAAGCCTTATTATTAGGGATTGGACCTTCCAACTCATTGTATGACGAAACGACATCATGCAAACCAGTTGAAGTTTCAAGTTCTTTGGGAATGCATCCAGATAGGCCATTGTGGGAAAGATTTAAGTTTACCAACACCTTCAAATTGGCTAACTGAGGGGGTATATCTCCAACCAGAAGATTGTAGCTCAAATCAAGTACATTAAGCTGAGTTATCCTTCCTATATCCTTTGGAATATTCTGGCCAAACTTGTTGCTCAGGTTCAACTGAAACAAGTGCACGAAATCTACTATACACATCGGTTTGATGAAAGATCAAGTCCTAAAAGCCCTTTGACATTTCCAATCTCTGGTGGTATGCTACCACTAATGTTATTTCTGGCTACACGCAGATCAATCAAATTTTCGCATTTCCCCCAGTTGCTGCTGAGTTCACCATGAAAATCATTGTCGCTCAAATCAATGAACCGAAGCTCTGGATGGATGCCAAAAGCTTCTGATAAATTCCCAGTAAAGTTGTTGTTATTGAAGCGAACCCGTTTGAAACTCGAGCACTTGCTCAAGCTTCTTGGGATTGGCCCTGTAAGCTTGTTACTATTCACCGTGAAAATCTCAAGTTTCCCACCTTGGCAAAGCCGCTCTGGCAAATGGCCTGAAAAGTGATTGTAACTCATTGATAATGAAACCAAGTTATCCAAATATGCAAATTCTTTTGGAATAGAACCTGAAAGTTTGTTGGCATCGAGATTTAGTATCTGCAAGTTTCTCAAATTGCCAAAGGAAACAGGAACAGGACCAGTAAGCTGATTATAGGATAAATCCAATCTAGTGAGGTTTTTCAAATTTCCCAACTCTCTAGGAATTGGACCGGAAAGATTATTACTCCATAAGGATAAATACTCAAGTGACTTCATCTTTCCTATTTCTGCAGGAATGGGGCCAGAAAGTTGGTTAGAATAAAGGTACAAAATTTTGAGCTGAGTTAAGTCACCTTCAATTCATTGAGGTTTTTCAAATTCCCCAACTCTCTAGGAATGAGAAAAGTGATTGTAACTCATTGACAAGACAACCAAGTTATACAAAGATGCAAGTTCTTTTGGAATAGAACCAGAAAGTTGGTTAAAATGAAGGTACAAACTTTTGAACTCAGTTAAGTCACCTAAAGTAATTGGAATTGAACCACTAAGCTTATTAACGGATAAATCTAGCTCATTGAGGTTTTTCAGATTCCCCAACTCACTAGGAATGCGACCAGAAAGTTGGTTATTATGAAGGGACAAATTTTTGAGCTCAGTTAAGTCACCTAAAGTAACTGGAATTGAACCACTAAGCTTATTATGGGATAGCTTCAATTCATTGAGGTTTTTCAAATTCCCCAACTCTCTAGGAATGAGTTCAGAAAGTTGATTGGATTGAAGGTACAAAAATTTGAGTTCAGTTAAGTCACCAAAAGAAATTGGAATTGAACCACTAAGCTTATTTTGGGATAGTTCCATATCAGTGAGGTTTTTTAAATTTCCCAATTCTCTAGGAATGAGACCAGAAAGTTGGTTATAATGAAGGTACAAAATTTTGAGCTCAGTTAAGTCACCTAAAGTAATTGGAATTGAACCACTAAGTTGATTATTGCCTAATTCCAGATCATTGAGGTTTTTCAAATTCCCCAACTCACTAGGAATGAGACCAGAAAGTTGGTTAGAATGAAGAAACAAAATTTTGAGCTCAGTTAAGCCACCTAAAGAAATTGGAATTGAACCACTAAGCTTATTTTGGGATAGCAACAAATCATTGAGATTTTTCAAATTCCCCAACTCACTAGGAATGAGACCAGAAAGTTGGTTAGAATAAAGGTACAAAATTTTGAGCTCAGTTAAGTAACCCAGAGTAATTGGAATTGAACCACTAAGTTGATTATTGCATAGTTCCAGATCATTGAGGTTTTTCAAATTCCCCAACTCACGAGGAATGAAACCAGAAAGTTGGTTAGAATAAAGGTACAAAATTTTGAGCTCAGTTAAGTAACCCAGAGTAATTGGAATTGAACCACTAAGTTGATTATTGCATAGTTCCAGATCATTGAGGTTTTTCAAATTCCCCAACTCACGAGGAATGAAACCAGAAAGTTGGTTAGAATTTTTTTAGATTCCCCAATTCACTAGGAATGGGACCAACAAGTTGGTTAGAATAAAGGTGCAGACTTGTGAGCTCACTTAAGTCACCTAGATTAATTGGAATTGAACCACTAAGCTTATTATCGGATAAAAACAAATCATTGAGATTTTTCAAATTCCCCAACTCACTAGGAATGAGACCAGAAAGTTGGTTATAATGAAGACACAAAATTTTGAGCTCAGTTAAGTCACCTAAAGTAATTGGAATTGAACCACAAAGCTTATTATGGGATAGCTCCAAATCATTGAGGTTTTTCAAATTCCCCAACTCACTAGGAATGGGACCAACAAGTTGGTTAGAATAAAGGTGCAGACTTGTGAGCTCACTTAAGTCACCTAGATTAATTGGAATTGAACCACTAAACTTATTATCGGATAAATCTAGCTCATTGAGGTTTTTCAGATTCCCCAACTCACTAGGAATGCGACCAGAAAGTTGGTTATTATGAAGGGACAAATTTTTGAGCTCAGTTAAGTCACCTAAAGTAATTGGAATTGAACCAATAAGATTATTATGGGATAGTTCTAGAGTAGTGAGGTTTTTCAGATTCCGAAACTCTCGAGGAATGAGACCAGAAAGTTGGTTAGAAGAAAGGTACAAAATTTTGAGCTTAGTTAAATCAACTAAAGTAATTGGAATTGAACCACTAAGCTTATTATGGGATAGCTCCAAATCATTGAGGTTTTTTAGATTCCCCAATTCACTAGGAATGGGACCAACAAGTTGGTTAGAATAAAGGTGCAGACTTGTGAGCTCACTTAAGTCACCTAGATTAATTGGAATTGAACCACTAAACTTATTATCGGATAAATCTAGCTCATTGAGGTTTTTCAGATTCCCCAACTCACTAGGAATGTGACCATGCAATAGGAAGAAATTACCCAACTTGCCCTTCAAAAAAGTTCCATCTTTAATTTCTAGTAATACTCCCAACTAGGAGTCTTCACGGTTTGGATAAAAATTGAACCAAATCGATAAAATAAAGCCGATTTATTTGGAATTGGTTTGATTTGATTTTAGATTTTTGAAAATTGATAGTATTTGATTCGGTTATGATTTTATTCGAAAAAACGAAGAAATAACTGAACTCAACCAATGAATTATATACATATATTTTATTAATATACATACATAATATATTATTTTTATAAACAAATTTAAAAATCTTATATATGTTTTCATTAAAATTTCTTTATAATTTAATTATTGAAAGCAAAAATGTTCAAGGTGAAAACATTATCTTATTAATTTCATGTATATGAGTATCTATGACAATTCTTTGTGTGATGGAAAATGTTACTGCCTCTTCCTTCTAGGAAAATATAGTGAATTTTAAAGCTTTATTCACAGTAAATTCAGTGATCGAAAATTTAGAATTTCAGTCATTCTAACTATATTTCATTGTGAATGGATTGTCGTTGTCTCTTTTTTCACATTTTGAATGAATTGTTTCTTTTATTGTGTATGGTTAACATTGGAACCAACCCAAACCGAAACCAATAACCACCAAACCAATAAATATATATTATATTCGGTTCAATTCGATTTTGATAATTTTAAAACCGATTAAGTTGATTTGATTTTGGTTTTGACCAATAACCTATCCAAACTGATCCGTGAACATGATCCGTGAACAACCTTATCCGAACTTATGCTTAGAGGACATAAGTTCTTAAGTCGTGAAATAGGATGTTATGACTTAAAAATATAAACTTTACGCCCGATGAAAGTTATTTGTTATTATGAAAATAAAAAGTAAAAATTATAAAAGGTAGTATAATACTGTAAACAAATTACTTCATATCCCTACTCTTTCAGAAATTACAAAACTCTCTTTATTTTATTGTCTTGCGGATACTTTAATATGCGGGGCGGATACTTTAATTTAGAAGCTGTAATTATCAGTTCAGGGCGTTAAAAAAAGGATTTTATCGGTTTAGTGCGTTAAATAAGGGATTTAAAATATAAATAAAAATTGACTGCCACAATTCACGCATACGTTTCTTTCATCTACAAATCAGTCATTCATAAAACCTGAATTCAAATTTCAAATTTTGAAATTCTCTCTTCCTGTTTTGCGAAAAGTTATGGAAGGCTGATTCAAAAAAATTTGTAGCGCATTTTTTGGTGAAGACTTGTAATGAATATTTCGATCTTGTTAAGGCATTCAGGAATATGGGAAAGTGATGTTAGATACGAGTGGTACAGAAGTGATGGCATAGTGGTTAGGGAAAATATTTAGTTCGTTAATCTTAATTCAGCAACTGCAGCATAATTGAATGTTGATGAATCAAAAAAAAATAATGGAGATCAGATACGTCGTAGAAGGTAATTCATCTCCATTGTGTATTCGGAATGATATAGGGGTGAAATTGTACATAGAAGTGAAGAAACATGAGGTAGGATTCGGTATGTATCCACTATGCATTGATATCGGATAAAAGTGATGAAGAGATACAAAATTTTGATGCAACAACAGGTGCAATTATGTGTGTTGAAGGTGGAAAAGGGGATGCAAAGGCTCTAAGCATTGCTGCATCGAAAATTTGTGATTCCTATTACATACCAAAAATGGGGGTGTAAAATTATATATCAGATACAAATGTTTCTAATGTGGAAGTGAAGCAATTGTACAAGGATAAGGCAACTCTATTGGCTGTAATGGCAAAATACAAAATAAAGCATAGCTTCAATTTTAGAGTTAAAAGATCTGATAACAAAAGGTATGTGATACTTCAATCTTATAACATTCTTCATTTTTATAATTTATTTGCTATTATGTTGATCATGATACACAAATAAAATGTGTTACGTGCAATTGTATGTGTTAGGTATCATGTTCATTTTGAGTTACTTGTGGTTGTTAATGTATTAATTAAGAAGGATAGGTGTGTGTATTGTGTTTATTGGATACAATAAAGTATCACGTGCATTTTGAGTTACCTCTGTTTATTAAAGTATCAATTAAGAAGGATAAGTGAAATCAGGTTAATAAGTGGATTTTGAATTTGTTATCTAATTTGTATATCAACAATATAAACTGAGTCGTCATCAAACTGTGTGATATATTAATATGTGTGCACATTATTATTTAACTAAAAGTATTTGTAATAATGTATGTTTTACTGCTATTTTATTTTTGATATTATGAATTGATACATTAAACTTGATCAAATAATAAAATATATATGGTATAATTGCAGCTATGTATTAGTATGTTATTCAGATGATTGTTGTTGGAATTTGAAGGCGTCTGTTAGGAAAAATACGGACATATTTAAAGTGAGATACTTCAATAGTGAACATACATGTCCATTGAGGGATAGGGTATTAAGTAAGGTACATGATATTGTTGGGTTTGTTAGTGGTGTGACAGCTCCAAAGTTAGTGAATCATAAAAGAAAACATACTTCAAACGATATAATTGATGATGTTAGGTCATTATATGGAGTTGAAATTTATTACCAACAAGCATGGCGGGCTAAAAAACGTGCATTGGAGATGATAAGGGGTAGACCTGCAGATGGATATAAACAGATGCCAAAATACATATATATATTGGAAATTGTGTATCCAAATTCATATATACGGATGCAGGTATGTCATGTTGTTTATTAATTTATTTTTTTAAGATAGTAATATAACATCCTGCAACAATTATGTATAAAGAATCATAATGTTGTGTGTTTCAATGTTAAAGTTGTATATTGCCGTTAGCTTATGGAATTGTAGACACGGAAAA